AGAATGGCCCCTGTCAGTGTTTTGCATTATTGTTGATGGATTTTGTGTATGAGTGTGTGTGTGTGGGCCTGTATCAGTGAAGGCTGGCTCATAATAATGGCTGGAACAGAGCGAATGGAATGGCATCAAACACATGGAAACCATGTGTTTGATATATTTGATACCATTCCACTAATTCCGCTCCAGCCATTACCACGAGCCCCTCCTCCCCAATTAAGGTGCCACCAACCTCCTGTGGCCTGTATCCACACAAATAGTATTTTGCGAATGCTAGATTTAGTTTTAGTTAGTTTATCTAAAGATTTATGGGTTTATTTATAAAGATTGTATGTGTAATCCTTGAACAATACCTCATATGCCTGCTAACACAGGTGCGTTCTACAGGACCAGGACTGAACGTTGGACCCTCCCTCTATATACAGTACCAGTCAAAAGTTTGCACACACCTACTCATTCAAGGGTTTTTCTTTATTTTTGTACTATTTTCTACATTGTAGAATAATAGTGAAGACATCAAAACTATGAAATAACACATATGGAATCATGTAGAAACCAAAAAAGTGTTAAACAAATCAAAATATATTTTAGATTCTTCAAAGTAGCCACCCTTTGCCTTGATGACAGCTTTGCACACCCTTGGCATTCTCTCAACCAGCTTCACCTGGAATGCTTTTCCAAAAGTCTTCAAGGAGTTCCCACGTATGCTGAGCACTTGTTGGCTGCTTTTCCTTCACTCTGCGGTCCAACTCATCCCAAACTATCTCAATTGGGTTGAGGTCGGGTGATTGTGGAGGCCAGGTCATCTGATGCAGCACTCCATCACTCTCCTTCTTGGTCAAATAGCCCTTACACAGGCTGGAGGTGTGTTGGGTCATTGTCCTGTTGAAAAACAAATGATAGTCCCACTAAGTGCAAACCAGATGGGATGGCGTATCGCTGCAGAATGCTGTGGTAGCCATGCTGGTTAAGTGTGCCTTGAATTCTAAATAAATCACTGACAGTGTCACCAGCAAAGCACCCCCACACCATCACACCTCCATGCTTCACAGTGGGAACCACACATGTGGAGATCATCCGTTCAACTACTCTGCGTCTCACAAAGACAGTGGTTGGAACCAAAAATCTCAAATTTGGACTCATCAGACCAAAGGACAGATTACCACCGGTCTAATGTCCATTGCTCGTGTTTAATTGGCCCAAGCAAGTCTCTTCTTCTTATTGGTGTCCTTTAGTAGTGGGGTCTTTGCAGCAATTCGTCCATGAAGGCCTGAATCACGCAGTCTCCTCTGAACAGTTGATGTTGAGATGTGTCTGTTACTTAAACTCTGTGAAGCATTTATTTGGGCTGCAATCTGAGGTGCAGTTCATTCTAATGAACTTATCCTCTGCAGCAGAGGTAACTGTGGGTCTTCCTTTCCTATGGCGGTCCTCATGAGAGACAGTTTCATCATAGCACTTGATGGTGTTTGTGATTGCACTTGTAGAAACATTCAAAGTTCTTGACATTTTCTGGATTGACCAACCTTCATGTCTTAAAGTAATGATGGATGTCATTTTGCTTTGCTTATTTGTGTTGGTCTTGCCATAATATGGACTTGGTCTTTCACCAAATAGGGCTATCTTCTATATACCCCCCCCCACCTACCTTGTCACAACACAACTGATGGGCTCAAATGCATTAAGAAGGAAATAAATTCCACAAATTAACTTTTAAGAATTTCACACCTGTTCATTGAAATGCATTCCAGGTGACTACCTCATGAAGCTGGCTGAGAGAATGTCAAGAGTGTGCAAAGCTGCCATCAAGGCAAAGGGTGGCTACTTTGAAGAATCTCAAATATAAAATACATTTTGATTTGTTTAACACTTTTGGTTACTACACGATTCCATATGTGTTATTTCATAGTTTTGATGTCTTCACTATTATTCTACAATGTAGAAAATAGTAAAAAAAAAAAAAAAAAAAACCTGGAATGAGTAGGAGTGTCCAAACATTTGACTAGTACTGTTTGACCGGTTTATTTCCAGTCAGAATAGGTCAGACAGAAAATATGATATTGATAATAATCCTTATTACTTAACAGATGTAATCTGGTTCAACTATGAATGTTTGCTTGAACAACTGTAAATTATCATTCTTATGGAGACAGGGATGTATTATTCTGACATTAATGGGTTTGTCACCACTAGGTGGTAGAGCATTCAGCTGTCACCACTAGGTGGTACAGCATTCAGCTGTATACGAGGAACAAGAACATGGGGAGGGAAATTACATCTGTCATTTCAATCAAACCTTAAATTATGGAGGCCTCGATGTTCAATACCCATAAAACAGTGACACATGATAAGCTATTCTGATGTCACAGAGCATCACAGACTATGAACCCAGCCCTCACACAGTCACCAGGAATAGCAAGCAATGCCAATCATTCAGGCCATAGATAACAAATAATTATAGTTCTTGGGCCAACCAACCTGTAGATCTTGCTCAATATCATTGAGAATACTCTTATCCATCAAGTTACATAAGACACATACATTCTGCTCAGTTGTGTCATTGGCAGTTCTCTCCTCGTGTTCAGGAGCATGGCACTGAACAGTGTAATCATATCAAGGGACATTCATGTTGGGCTGAAGAAACCCTGTTTCCAGCAGCACTCCGCCCCTTTCATCACAATCCTACCTCCCCTTTCCTCTTACTTCCTTTGACCTTGGAACTGTTGACTCATACTTGAAGTCTTTTGCATCCCCATCTACATTCAATTACTGCAGTTTTTTATTCTCTTGTACTTCCCTAAGCTACACGCCTGACAAGAGAAAGACATTCATCAACAATTGTCATGGTGTAGGTCAAGATCACAATGTAAAGGGAAATACCCCAAAGATTCATGCTCTATTAACATTTACATAAACCACAACTGTTTGTATGTATACAAACAAGCTATGTGGTGAAGTAGAATGCCTGTGTCTGGATGAAATTAGAAAAGACATCGACTTGGATGGAAAACAGACTGACTGAATTGAATACAATCAAGATGCATGTTATAGATGAAATAAAAAGTAGAATTGAACTGATGGTAAAAGGTTATCTGTGAAAAGCAGTGAAGTAACAGTACAGGGCACTGGATGAGGAGATCAAGAGCTGTCTAAGTAAGTACAGTGGACATGACTCAAGACTGGCTAAAGACAGATGAATGAGATGTGGTTGTATCTGGTGTAGGTTTGTCCTTGTGGTTGTGATTGTGTGTAAGGACAGGCCTCTTGCTGTCTGCACCAAAAACCTTTATTTTGCAGAGCTCCTCTTCTGAAAGTAGAAACCCATGTATTTGATGTACATAGTAAATGAAAACTAGGGCACCGAAGTGAAAATGTAATACTGTACAGTCTGCCTCTGTTGTGCAACACTAGGAAGGACCCCAAAACAATACAATTTTTTGATTGTTGTTTTCTTTAGCAAAAGAAAAGATTCATGTAGAAACAAGCAATGTTTTGCATTTTGATATTTTTCATCACCCTTTACCTTAAAGCTAAAAATGAAATAGAAAATAGTAAATAAACACTCACCCTTCAAAATGTTGTTTACAGATGTCACTAATGAAACAAAACCTAATTGAAAAGGATTTAAGTTCTAGCAATACGCACACTATATCAAGTGTACAATTTGTGTCTTTGATTCTAATAAAATACTTTTAAAAATCCATATATATTTATCTTTCTTTTGGTATATGGATCCAAAAATAAACATTTAAATCATAAAGGGGAGTTGGGAGAGAGAAATAAAAATCCAAAGGAAACTGGTTAAGCTATACAGCACAGTATAACACCCACTTTAGCTCATTATACACGTACAGTCGTGATCAAGGCACAGGGATCTTCTATTTTTTCAATAAAAGTTGTACAAAATAATACATTTGACAGTCTGTACAAGAATAATAGTTCAGCAGTAAAGTAAAGACAGACATACAAATAGCCTTGGCAGGGAGGGGAGTGAAGGGTGGTGACCACATGAGTAAAGAATAGTGTCCCATTTAACATTATCTTCTTCCTCTTTTTTACATTTCAGGATTACCTTTTTCTTTAAAAACCAAACAAAGAGCATTGCCAGTAAAGTAACAGTGCAGGGTATGAGGTGAGGTTAAGAGAGTGGACAGGGAGGAGGGGTGATGAGCGAGAGAGCGAGAGAGAGAGAGGGGGGCACAATGGCACAACAGTCTACACAGACAAAACAACTGGAGACAGAAACAGGGCTGATCGGACTTCTCTTAACTTATATGGTATTGTATATGTTTTTTGCACTCCGTTGAGTTCTGTGAATGTTGGCCTTTTTCCTCCCGCTGCTGTACCAACAAGGCAAAGTCATGTGACAATCCTGTGGGCGTCATGGTGTCCAAGCGCCACCAAATTGACATAGATATTCCCCTCCCCCCAAGCCCTGCCCACCACAATGATTCTCTGGTTAATTGTCAGTCATCAACGTTGCTCCTAGTAGGTATCTTGGCTGTGAAGTCATTGAAAGCACTGAGCCAGTCAATCTGTGGCTGCAGACAGTAAGCAGCTAAGACTCTGAGCTCGCCCAGTTCAGGACCATGCAGTCGAGTAAAAGCGTGTGTGTTCTTTTTCTGTATGCAAACAGTTATTGGAGGTTAAATTTGAGAGCAAGTGTGTCTAAGTGTGTTTCAACTGAGGGTGTGAAAGAAAGAGGGTCCGGTGTTATGTCAGCATGTACACGCTTGTGTGTGTGGTGAAATGGGTTCGAGTCCTGAGCACAGTGCTAAAGTGCAGTGGAGTTCAGCTGATCTTGCTTGGATGTATTCTGTGTTTTGCAGTATTTCAATACTCTTTCCAGGTTACGCTGTAGCTCTTTTGTCTAGTTTGACTTCAGGAGTCCCCAAGAGTACACCGAGTTAGGAGCAGGTCGACAGGGGTGGGTTTTAGGGGGGTCAGGGAGAGACCGGAAGGTGGAGGTTCAGAGTCTGTGTTGCAGCCCCCTCTCATCACAAGAGCTCGTACTGCCGAAGGTGCATCCGCTGAATGATGTCCCGACAGTCGTTGAAGACCCGGCGGATGTTTTCCGTGTCGACGGCACAGGTAAAATGGGGGTAACAATAGTGCCTGCCGTCTCCGCTGGCTGTGCTGATCCTCTGAAATCACACAGTGAAACACAATGAGACAAAGGAGTACTACCACCATCAGGACATCCTCCACTTGACTCAATAACAAATCTAACATTAAGACAATGCTAACTTATCCAATATGAGCAAGTCATCTCATTTGGCATATTTGGTTTTGATTGGATCCTATTTTGTAATCAACACCATAAGATTCTACATAACGGGAGACATTGTATTTTTCTGCACTTACTAGGAACTCATCTCGTATGAAGTACTTTGCCCTTGTGACGCGTGGATCCTCCCCTGGTTCTGGTGTTGCTATAGAATAGTGAGAGACTGATGATGAGTGTTATGATTGGATTCTAGTACACCATCACACATTGTCAGTGTCACTGATCGCTATGATGATTACTTATTAGCCACAGGATAGAACATTCAAGAGCCATCTACCGTGGCTAAAAGCAGAAGCACTGTGTGTGTGTGTCCCGCCATGTGTGTGTGTGCGCGCCGTGTGTGTGTACAGTAAAAATCCAGTCAAGTGTAACAACTTCTCACCATCATCCGGTGTGGTGTAGCGTGCAAACTCTGGGAAGTACTCTTCAATTTTTGATTTCCCAGCCAACACCTTCTCTGCTAGCAGGTCCTGTTTGTTGAGGAATAGGATGACAGAAATGGTCCGCAGCCACCTAAAGCGAAACACACACAGAGATGCTGGGTAAATACACTGTTAAAAAGCAGTCAGTGGTAATTTAGGGCTAGCAAATTGTAAATTATTATGATGAGAGCATTTCAATAAAACAAAGGAATAGAATAAAACTTCATTGATTCCATAAATGTTTGTGGGGAGGGTGTGTCATGGGGAGGGTGTGTCATGGGGAGGGTGTGTCATGGGGAGGGTGTGTCATGGGGAGGGGGTGTCATGGGTTGTGTTTGTGTCACCTGTTGTTCCAGATGTTCTTGAATAGATTCAGAGCCTCCTGCAAACGGTTGGTCTGATTATCCTCCCGGATCACCATGTTGTAGCTGCTACTGGCCACCACGAAAATAATGGCAGTTACATCTGTGGGGAAGACAGAGGGAGGAGGGACTCAGACGAACTGGTTTTGTAAAGCGCAATCAATGACACAGTCAAATGGCACTTATCTTTAGGGCTAAGGCCGAAACACACAGTAATGGCAGAAAAAGCAAAGGTGATAAAATACAGGAAACCTTTAGTGGAATGAGGCTATAGACTATGGAGGACCCATCCAGAACCCCAAAAAGGTATCTATAAATGAGATCTGAATTGTGTTTGTGAGTGATTCTCTATTGGGTTGGCCAGATCAAATGGAAAAACAAATGTTACCGTTAAAGCACTGGATCCATTTCCGACGTTCATCCCTTTGACCACCAACGTCAAACATGCTGTGGAAGAGATGTCAGTGAGACAAATATACCACACACTACGACCTTGTGGCAAAGTAATGAATCACATGTAAGCTGCACTGTATGGACTCATACACGTCTGAAGGGCTGAGTTGGAGGTTGCTCTTCAGGTATTGTACTAATAACCAAATGGGACGATAACCCTGGGTTATACTCACTGGAAATTGACTTTGTCCACCTGAAATCTGGTCTCGAAGATCCCAGAGGTGAGCACTCGGCATCTCAGTAGGTCCTGAGAGACGAGAGAGAAAGACGGGAGTCATTCATCTGTGTTATATTTCATCAATATTATGAAAGGAAGTTGATGATGGAGGACAGTAGGGGTGTGTCTCAAATGGAGGTCTTCGGCCAAAAGTAGTGCATTGTAGAGGGAATAGGGTGCCATTTGAGACGTATCCCTGGGCCTCTGATGATGGTGGCGTTGAGACCACGGAAACTCACCTGATCAGTAGGAGTGTAGTCACTCTGTTTCACAATGTCAATCTTGTCTAGAAAGCTGAGGAGAAAAAAAAAAAACATATTTAGAAGGATGACCAGGACAGGACAAAATGGCTGAATTCAGTCAGCAGGGGCAGTGAATGAGCATGATGGGGAGCTTGTCTGTGTGTGGACAGGAAAAGACCACTGAGCTCAATAAAATTATATACACCTGTGTTTCGCCAACTTTTTTGTAGCAGGGAGAGAGGGACTGACCTGCGGTAAGCCATCGCACCTTCCTCTTTGGAGGACCACTTAGTTTCTATCTAAGACTTGAGAACTGACTAAATCAGTGTCAGCTAACTAACTGAGCAGCCAGTTAGTAACATCCCAGGGACCAGTGTCGGTCCAGGAACCATAGGGTTGAGAGAAAGACCAACATAGACGTCATTGGTACAGGCACTTACAGCTGAGAGGAATGGCAACGGTTCTGGAGTCATACTGACTTTGAGACTAATGTCTAATTCCATGACATACACTGAGTATACCAAACATTAGGAACACCTTTCATAATATTGAGTTGCACCCATGCTGACTCCAATACTTCCCACAGTTGTGGGAAGCATTTGGCTGGATATCCTTTGCGTTGTGGACCATTCTTGATACACACAGGAAACTGTTGAGGGTGGGAAAACTCAGCAGCGTTGCAGTTCTTGACACAAACCGGTGCGCCTGGCACCTACTACCATACCCCTTTCAAAGGCACTTAAATATTTTGTCTTGCCCATTCACCCTCTGAATGGCACACACACAATCCATGTCTCAATTGTCTCAAGGCTTAAAAATCCTTCTTTAACCTGTCTCCTCCCCTTCATCTACACTGATTGAAGTGGATTGAACAAGTGACATCAATAAGAGATCATAGCTTTCACCTGGATAGTCTGTCATGGGAAGAGCAGGAGTTCCTAATGTCTTACTCAGTGTAGTTTACAACTGTTTGACTTGGGTTTAAACAGTACCTACAGTATCTAATACAACTGAACGCCACAAACTGTACCAACAGTGCGTGACAGCTGAATGCCGGTCTCCCAAGCATACTGAACACAGAGGAATGCAGAGCCTCTGGATAACCAGGAATGTGACACGGAGGGGTGAAATGTGACAGGTCTAAGTACAGGTAAGACATGGCAGGAATGAGTCGGCACTCACTGGGAGAGACAAAGGGACTAGGAGAAACACACAGAGAGATTGTGTGTGTGTGTGTGTGTATGCGCATTTACCATTCTTTGTTATGGCAACAAAAATGTCCATAGATAACTATGCAGACTCCAGAAGAACACAGGTGGGGAGATTAACTCTTACTCTTTCCTTTCCTACATGTTACTGAAGAATGTTGTAAAAGTTATAACTGTAAGCTCTAATTCCACAAGGGTTCACACTCACAAACCTGACCTAGCCCATCAGCCTGAACCCAAACAGACATCTCTAAATTAGACTCTGGCACTGGGAGATTGAATGAGTGAATTAGAGTGAGTGGGAAGGGGAGAGAGAGAGTGGGAGGGTGATAGAGCTTGAGGTAGGAAAGGCGTAGAGAGAGATGGAAGAAGGAGGGAGGGGGATTGGTAGGAAGGAAAGGGCGAGAAAGACAGAAAGTATGTGCATATGTGTGTGAAAGAGAGTGAGAGAGGGGGAAAGAGAAAGAGTAGTCTGACATTACAGAGCAGATTCAAAAATAGCTCCCTAGTGCCCTGGCCTCCAGCATGGTTGCCATGGAGACAAAACCACAGGCTCTATAAATAGACTATCAGCTCAAAATGTTGTGTGACTGGAGTAGGGCCTGAGAAGGAGAGGAAGAAAAACAGAGAGGGAAAACAAGAGAAGAAATGAGAGGGAGCAAGAGATTGAGAAAGATGGACTGGGAGAGAGGAAGTGGGAGAGAGAGAGAGAGAGAGAGAGAGAGAGAGAGAGAGAGAGCAGGAGCGGGAGAGAGGTATTGAGAGAGGGAGTGGGAAAGAGTGAGAGAGAGGGAGGGAACAAAAGACTGGACTGGCCCATCTCAACCACCTGAAGGGGTTGTCCTAGACTTAAGTAACACAATCAAATACACAGCACTCTTCAAACATTAGCACAAAATTAATTTTTGATACAATCAGCTCAAATCAAACACCACGATAACAAATTTAACTCTGAGGCGCCAGTCACTGTGGTTTAGCGGTGTACTTCCCCCTCCTCCCCTGTTCCCCTCCAACCGCTGGTGAAATCTCCCTCTCTCTCTTTTTATGACTCAGGACCTGCCATTTTTGGTCCCTGTCGCTGCAAATATCCTACATCACAGATGCGGAGCCACACAACAGCTGGAAAAGAAAGCAGAGGACGAGGACGAGAAGGAGAGGAAGAGAACACGTGTGAGAGAGTACGAGGGAGAGCGTGCCAGAGCGAGAAAGAGAGCGAGAGAAAGAGAGAGGGGCAGAGAGAGACACATAGCCAGAGGTGGCAGTGTTGATGCAGAAAGCTCTGGTGATGTCATACTGTGGTGTGTGCGCACTGAGACATGATGAGGAGCTGTGGAGTAAGAGTATGAGCTCAAGATGACTTCCATGACACAGAGCTCAGCTACCACACATCATTTTTCAGGCAGAATACTTGCCTGTTGTCATTGAAAATCAGAATGGTCTCTCAAGGAAATAGCTTTTTACAATAAAGTTTTGATGAAATTAAATACATTTTAGATTTGGGGTTTACAAACTTTAGTTGGCATTTTATCAGCCTGCTAAATCTGAGCATGCCAGCCTTGAACTACGGTCCCATACTGTCCTATACGTGCCCCTAGTCATTGGCTTAGTGTGTTTGTTTTCAACAATGCAGGCCTGTACAAGGGCATTGTAGCTACTCAAGACGGTTGGTCCCCTCTCGGCGGTGCAGTGCAGTGCATACTTACTACTGTGCACAGTCGATCAGCTGGTACTCATTGGATCTCTCAAAACACACCCTCACGCCCTCATCCTGCCAGAGAGTCTTTGCATTTTCATAAAACTCCTGAGAGAGTGAGCGATATAGGGAGAGAGGAAGAGAGAGTGAGCGATATAGGGAGAGAGGAAGAGAGAGTGAGCGATATAGGGAGAGAGGAAGAGAGAGGATATAGGGAGAGAAGAGAGAGTGAGCGATATAGGGAGAGAGGAAGAGAGAGTGAGCGATATAGGGAGAGAGGAAGAGAGAGTGAGCGATATAGGGAGAGAGGAAGAGAGAGTGAGCGATATAGGGAGAGAGGAAGAGAGAGTGAGCGATATAGGGAGAGAGGAAGAGAGAGTGAGCGATATAGGGAGAGAGGAAGAGAGAGTGAGCGATATAGGGAGAGAGGAAGAGAGAGTGAGCGATATAGGGAGAGAGGAAGAGAGAGTGAGCGATATAGGGAGAGAGGAAGAGAGAGTGAGCGAAAGAAAGAGGGGAAGTGGAAGAGAGAAAGATGAAGTGATTAATTCACATGGCACAATAGTACAATAACAATACATAGACTAAATGAAAGCAAGTAGAAAAGGAGGACACTGTCCATCATCCATGTTATGCTTGAGGGCACTGCGATGTGTGGCATCTTTTTTACATTCCAATGGGGCAGCACACCTATTAGGGATCTGGCATTTATTGACAGGAGAACAGGTTTTGTGGCCAAGGGGAGTTTCAATATAGGAAAAACAAAGTGGCATGGTCAGGCTGTTGAAATGACAGATTATTTAAGGCACAAAGTAAAAACATAGTGGCAGGTCAGGCCGTTGAAATAACAAGGCATGTTTTTACAACCCTTTCAACATTTCCTTTAATGAGGAGAAATAAAGATGACATATGGTCGACAGGCTAGGGAGGGTCAGTTGACTCATAATCATGTCAAAATCCCATTTAATATTGAATTAATCATATTTCATTAAATTGATTTAGCAAACAAAAGCTGTGCAGGTGTAAACATTCGAGTCAACTGTTATATCTAAAGGCCAATCTGTTACTTCCTTGTTTGATAGCTGTTGCATAAGGTGGGAATGTCCACATAGCTTATTAAGGACCAGAGTGACCACCCCATGGACAACATTCAGAGGGCTAAAAGGCACATAGAAAGGTAGATAGTCTCATCATCTCCCTCCATTGTCTTCCATTTGGACCATGGAACAAGAAACCCTGTTATGTATAAAACAACATCTTCTGGACAACTGGACCTTTGTGGAACAATGCGTCTGCATACACTTGCATAACATTTAGGTTCGCTGCCCGATATATTTGTCCCACCGTTTGGCTGGCTTGGGTTACTTGAAGAGTTATAAAAAATCCCTGCATCCACTCCATAAAAGAGCACTCATCATGTGTCTTAGTAACAGAGTCCTCCTTTATCATCAGTCATGTGCTTAAGAAAAAAAGAAAAACTCCTCTCTAGGAACTGCTTATTGCATTACAGCAGCCGACCCAGAATCCTTTGGGGCTACAACTCAATGCTATATTGTTTCTCTCTGCTCACTGGCTTGTCTGTATTGCTGATCTTAGTTTTTTCCATAATCATTTCCATTTCATTGGTATGGCCTTTTTTCAAATACACAAAGGTTTGTGTTGTTTTGCTAAGAATACCACAGGGAGTTTGATCTTGCTTTAAGTATTTTTTTTTTTAAAGCAACTGGTTGTTTTTTCCTGGTTAATAAACAACCATCTATAACGTTCTGCACAAAATGCGTCTGAATGGGAATGTCCCCTTTAGCGTTCGAACTCTATGGTCAACACTACTACAAAAGCGTAATGTAGCCAGAGACGGGATAAGGAAGTGAGGTCCCTAGTAACTTTGAATTTGAGAACATTTACATTTTAGTGGCGTTAGAAAAACAACCTATAAAGCAGAGGTCAGCAACAGGGCAAAACCATTCTAAATCAGTCAATTAATCAACAGTCTGAAAATAAGACCCATACCACAACAAAACAACACATTTAAACATGAAATGAACTGGAAGTGAACAGCCCAGACAGTAGATACCCATACAAACTTCCCCCACCTCTAGCCACCCTCATCCTTTTCCTCACCCTCTCTTTTTTCTATCTGTACTCTGAGATTAGGTGACCAGTAGAACCGGTTCCCTCTCAGCCCTGGGGGGTGCCAGAGAGGAAGGAGGGAGGGAGAGAGGCTTTGCCAACAGTGTTACACTGTCTGACCTTAGAGTCATTCAACTCTCCTCCATCAGGAACGAAATCACAGACATTCAAACACCACAGAGCAAGGCAGCAGTCAATCACATCCCTTTCACACGTAGGCCTACACACCCAAACTAAGAGAGAGATATGTTATGGCAGGTGTTCTAGGCCCAGAAGAAGGACTTCAATGACAGTCTATGGCGCAATGGTAGGGACGCAACCATTCAACTGTAATAGGTCATTTTCTAATCAGCCAAAGACTCATAAGGGGATCTAAATTAAAGCGTAATAACAGCTAAATAGATGCAAAGCATTAACCTATCGGTTGTTTTCATTTTGTTGAGTGACAACATGTTGTCTGTCCTAGAGATAAGTCAAACTCACTATGGTGCACACTATGGGCCCTATTCAATCAAAACCGTTAACAAGGTTTCTGTGATCAATATAAAACAAAGTTCTCAAATGCACTTATAAACCCATTATAAAATTCAATGGATTATGTTTATCCAGAAACCTGGTACCTGCTTAGCTTGAATAGAGTCCTATGTCCCTCCCAGCCAAGTCCTAACAGCCTGACGACTACCAGCAAGCACTCTGTTGTTCAGGTGGGCATCCCAGTGTGACACTGACACAGACACATGTGGGTCCCAGAGAGAGGTATTTAGGGGTGTTATAGGCACAATCAGTGTCAACCAGTGGTACTCAGAGACCTCCAGGCCTTCCCTCAGGGCAGTCAATTAGCTAACAGGCATCGCATCAAGGCCCTACCCGCTAATTACTATAGTACCATGAGGCTGGCACCTGCAACAGGGACTACTGGATGGGCATTCCTATGGGAACATACACATACAGTGCCTTTGGAAAGTATTCAGACCCCTTGACTTATTCCTTATTCTAAAATGGATTAAATATTGTATTTTTCTCAGCAGTCTACACACAATACCCCATAAAGACAAAGTGAAAACTGGTTTTTAGATTTTTATGCAGATTTATAAAAAATAGAAAACAGAAATACCTTATTTACATAAGTATTCAGACCCTTTGCTAGAGACTCAAAATTGAGCTCAGGTGCATCCTGTTTCCATTGATCATCCTTGAGATGTTTCTACAACTTCATTGGAGTCCACCTGTGGTAAATTCAATTGATTGGACATGATTTGGAAAGGTACACACCTGTCTATATAAGGTCCCACAGTTGACAGTGCATGTCAGAGCAAAAACCAAGCCATGAGGTCGAAGGAATTGTCCGTAGAGCTCCAAGACAAGATTGTGTCGAGGCACAGATCTGGGGAAGGGTACCATTTCTGCAGCATTGAAGGTCTCCAAGAACACAATGGCCTCCATCCTTCTTAAGTGGAAGACGTTTGGAACCGCCAAGACTCTTCCTAGAGCTGGCCGCCCGGCCAAACTGAGCAATCGGGGGAGAAGGGCCTTGGTCAGGGAGGTGACCAAGAACCCGATAGTCACTCTGATAGAGCTCTAGAGTTACTCTGTGGAGATGGGAGAACCTTCCAGAAGGACAACCATCTCTGCAGCACTCCACCAATCAGGCCTTTATGGTAGAGTGGCCGAACGGAAGCCACTCCTCAGTAAAAGGCACATGACAGCCCGCTTGGAGTTTGCCAAAAGGCACCAAGCTTGTAGCGTCATACCCAAGAAGACTTGAGGCTGTAATTGCTGCCAAAGGTGCTTCAACAAAGTACTGAGTAAAGGGTCTGAATACTTGTTTTTTTTTTATATACATTAGCAAAAATTTATAAAAACCTGTTTTTGCTTTGTCATTATGGGGTATTGTGTGTAGATTGATGAGGAAGAAAAACAATTTAATCAATTTTAGAATAAGGCTGTAATGTAACAAAATGTGGAAAAAGTCAAGGGGTCTGAATACTTTCCGAATGCACTGTATGCTCACTCACACAGGCGTGTACATACATTAGAGCCCGACAGATATATTGGTTCACTGATATTATCGGCCGATATTGGCACAGCTAGCACTGTGATGCAGTGCCTTAGACCACTGCGCCACTCAGGAGAGATCAGTATCGCTAGATCAGTATCGGCCGATAATTCAACCGATAACCGATATTCAATAAATACGATGAAAAAAAGGGAATCTCGTGCTTATTTGAACACTTGCGGCCATTCTCAAGATGTATCATTAATTTCACAATGTAAGAAATCAACATTTGAAGCATATTTTTCTTGGTCAATTGCTGTTTTGGATGGCAATTTCTGAAAATTCAGTGTGTAAAAATTGAACTTGTTCATTTCCTCTGCGTAAAACAGTATATTGGCAGATATAGTTATCGGTAAGTTTTGTCCCCCCAAAAATCATATTGATCGGGCTCCAACATACGTTCATGCAAAAACAATATCTATCTATAATGATCTGTGTGTTTGGTAGAAACATTGTCATACTCACAGACGTGAATTCAAAGTCCTTCTGATTGACTAGGTTGAGGACGTATTCGATTCGGTGTTGGTTGTGTTGACTGGCGAGCTGAACGGGAGGCGTCAGTGTACTCATAGCTGCTACTACGGTCTAAAGAGTGACACAAACACACACAATCAATACAGATCAAGTGACAACACAGGATTGTCTTGGGGTCTCTTATATTCAATAATCAATGCTAAAATATTCATGATTCATGCTTAGCTGTTTAGATTTTTTTATTCTACCTAGTACCCACCCACAGAGATATGAACTACAAAGATTCAAACCGAAAACTTACCTCAATAGCTTCTTTAATATTATTCTTGATATCGTGAATTTTCTGCTTCTTCTCTCTGCAAAAACATAAAAGCTCAATCATCCATGTTGGAAAAAAATTGAAATATCATTGTCATACACAACAGATATGCTGATGAAACAGCAAACAAAAAACAAACATGTATGTAGATAAGTCCATCAACAGCTGGCATACCTGCACAATATCATTCCTTCTGACACACACATCCTCAACTATGTGAAACTCATATCTTGAACAGGTCCCAGTCTCCCAGTGCCTACATTGGACTCTAATGAAAATGCTATACCTGCTACTATAACTACAAATGATCAGATGTCAAACATCACCCCACTTTTAAGAGCAGTAACTGAGCTGCAACAACCCATCAGTAGACTGTTACTACTACAGTATCAGCTATCAAGTCAAGTGCAATGAAGTTTAACAAGCAAAGGTGTGGTGCATCAAACTGTAGGCTACGGGAAGCAACAGTGAGGGTCCTCCAACTGTCTTAGAATCTTTTTTCTGATTCAGATGATGCAAAGAGGGATGTATTTTGTAGCGGGAAACATTTCATTATACGACTAAGTTGGGCACTGCCACTGATGTTTAGTTTATCCCAAGAACACAAACTGCATTCAAGTAGAGTAAGAGAGAGAATATGTGACAGAGAATGAGGTACATCAACAGAAAGAGAGAGAGAGAGAAGGAGAAAGAAAGAGAGAAAAGGGGAGAAAGAGAGAATAGACAACAGCCAGCAGGAGGGCCTGTATCCCACACTGACACACCCTCTTGTTTATTGACCCTGGGGGGTAGATTGAGAAGGCCCGTTTACATTTTCAACATGATAGTCATTTTTAAAAATCACATGGTTCTTACAAAGTAGTGTGTGTGCGCACTTGTATGTGACTGTGTGTGTGTATATTATGTGTGTGTGTGGAGAGAGAGAAAATAGGCAATTACTAGATAGAAGGAGAAAGCATGTGTGTGTATATACACATCCTTGTCTATCTTTATCTAAGAACACACTAAAAAATATAAAATATAAACAAAATATACTTGGTCCAGTGTTTCACAAAGGCCTGGAACATTATCAATGGAAGTTACTGAATGCAAAAACATCATAGGGAATCTACCAAACACCTCCAACAATTCCTTATATTCATTTTCCTTGTACAGTATCTGTTCCTCCAGGACTGACTACAAAACATTGGAGAGAAGTCACAGACACACTGCCCTGCACTGTATCCATTTGCAAATGCCATAGAAATACAATCCATAAGTTTAAGTGATATACAGTACAGCTACGTTTTCACACAGACACAACCAACTAATCAATGAATGTCTGAAATGTCTAGGATGTGACCAAGTGATGAACTGAGCATATTCACACATACAAGATAGAGAGCTGCAGTTGTAAATGTTGTGGAGTCACGAGATAAGGCACCCAGCAGCGTGTGACCTAGGTGCTGATTTGCTCATCTAACCCAAGCCACTCACACCACACCAGTGCCTTAACCTCCAAACCTAACCCCACAAACTTGGGATTAAACCCCAACCCACCAATGCACAGATTCCTGGACCCACAACAGTTTCGGGTCTAAACCTGCAACCAACCTACTCACCTGGACCTAAACCTCCACCAACCAACGCACCAGGGCCTTGGAGCACCCGTCACCAACCAACGCACCAGGGCCTTGAAGCACCCGTCACCAACCAACGCACAGGGCCTTGAAGCACCAGTCACCAACCAACGCACTAGGGCCTTGGAGCACCCGTCACCAACCAACGCACCAGGGCCTTGGAGCACCTGTCACCAACCAACGCACCAGGGCCTTGAAGCACCAGTCACCAACCAACGCACTAGGGCCTTGGAGCACCCGTCACCAACCAACGTACCAGGGCCTTGAAGCACCAGTCACCAACCAACGCACCAGGGCGAATGAAGAAAAATGAAGAATGGCGCCGGAGAAGATGGCTGCCGTTTTACAGCCCTCTTACCAATTGTACTATTATGTGTGTTTTTCCGCGTTATTTGTTATTTATTTTGTACATAATGTTTCTGCCATCGTCTCTTATAACCAAAAAGAGCTTCTGGATATCAGGACAGCGATTACTCACCTCGTATTGGACGAATCATTTTTCTTCAACGAGGCGGCCGCGAAGGATATCCTACAGACACCCGACAAGGCCCAAATCCCCGTCATTCGCATGAGGAAGAGACGGAGATATCGTGGACGTAGGTCGGGGTGCCTTGTAAGGATCCGACGGCGAGCGAGTAAACTGCCGCTCCCATCAATCCTATTAGCCAATCTTCAATCATTGGAAAATAAATTGGATGACCTAAGATTACGTTTATCCTACCAACGGGACATTAAAAACTGTAATATCTTATGTTTCACCGAGTCATGGCTGAACGACGACATGGATAACATACAGCTAGCGGGCTATACGCTACATCGGCAGGATAGAACGGCTGAATCCGGTAAGACAAGGGGTGGCGGTCTGTGTATATTTGTAAACAACAGCTGGTGCACAAAATCAAATACTAAGGAAGTCTCAAGGTTTTGCTCGCCTGAGGTAGAGTATCTTATGATAAGCTGTAGACCACACTATTTACCAAGAGAGTTTTCATCTATATTTTTCATAGCTGTCTATTTACCACCACAAACCAATGCTGGCATTAAGATTGCACTGAATGAGCTGTATAAGGCCATAAGTCAACAGGAAAACGCTCATCCAGAGGCAGCGCTCCTAGTGGCCGGGGATTTAATGCAGGGAAACGTACATCCGTTCGACCTCATTTCTACCAGCATGTTAAATGTGCAACCAGAGGAAAAAAAACTCTAGACCACCTTTACTCCACACACAGAGACGCATACAAAGCTCTCCCTCGCCCTCCATTTGGCAAATCTGACCATAACTCTATCCTCCTGATTCATGCTTATAAGCAAAAACTAAAGCAGGAAGCACCAGTGACTCGGTTAATAAAAAAGTGGTCAGATGACGCAGATGCTAAGCTACAGGACTGTTTAGCTAGCACAGACTGGAACATGTTCCGGGATTCTTCAGATAGCATTGAGGAGTACACCACATCAGTCACTGGCTTCATCAATAAGTGCATCGATGATGTCGTCCCCACAGTGACCGTACGTACATACCCCAACCAGAAGCCATGGATTACAGGAAATATCCACACTGAGCTAAAGGGTAGAGCTGCCGCTTTCAAGGAGCGGGACTCTAACCCGGATGCTTATAATAAATCCCGCTATGCCCTCCGACGAACCATCAAACAGGCAAAGAGTCAATACAGGACTAAGATTGAATCGTACTACACCGGCTCTGACGCTCGTCGGATGTGGCAGGGCTTGAAAACTATTACAGACTACAAAGGGAAGCACAGCCGCGAGCTTCCCAGTGACACAAGCCTACCAGACGAGCTAAACCACTTCTATGCTCGCTTCGAGGCAAGCAACACTGAAGCATGCATGAGAGCACCAGCTGTTCTGGATGACTATGTGATCACGCTCTCCGTAGCCGATGTGAGTAAGACTTTTAAGCAGGTCAACATTCACAAGGCCGCAGGGCCAGACGGATTACCAGGACGTGTACTCCGAGCATGTGCTGACCAACTGGCAAGTGTCTTCACTGACATTTTCAACATGTCCCTGACTGAGTCTGTAATACCAACATGTTTCAAGCAGACCACCATAGTCCCTGTGCCCAAGGACACTAAGATAACCTGCCTAAATGACTACCGACCCGTAGCACTGACGTCTGTAGCCATGAAGTGCTTTGAAAGGCTGGTCATGGCTCACATCAACACCATTATCCCAGAAACCCTAGACCCACTCCAATTTGCATACCGCCCCAACAGATCCACAGATGACACAATCTCTATTGCACTCCACACTGCCCTTTCCCACCTGGACAAGAGGAACACCTACGTGAGAATGCTATTCATTGACTACAGCTCAGCATTCAAAACCATAGTGCCCTCAAAGCTCATCACTAAGCTAAGGATCCTGGGACTAAACACCTCCCTCTGCAACTGGATCCTGGACTTCCTGACGGGCCGCCCCCAGGTGGTAAGGGTAGGTAACAACACATCTGCCACACTGATCCTCAACACGGGGGCCCCTCAGGGGTGCGTGCTCAGTCCCCTCCTGTACTCCCTGTTCACCAATGACTGCATGGCCAGGCACGACTCCAACACCATCATTAAGTTTGCCGACGACACAACAGTGGTAGGCCTGATCACAGACAACGATGAGACAGCCTATAGGGAGGAGGTCAGAGACCTGGCCGTGTGGTGCCAGGATAACAACCTCTCCCTCAACGTGACCAAGACAAAGGAGATGATTGTGGACTACAGGAAAAAAACGAGGATTGAGCACGCCTCCATTCTCATCGACGGGGCTGTAGTGGAACAGGTTGAGAGCTTCAAGTTCCTTGGTGTCCACATCACCAACAAACTATCATGGTCCAAACACACCACGACAGTCGTGAAGAGGGCACGACAAAGCCTATTCCCCCTCAGGAGATTGAAAAGATTCGGCATGGGTACTCAGATCCTCAAAAAATTCTACAGCTGCACCCTCGAGAGCATCCTGACTGGTTGCATCACCGCCTGGTATGGCAACTGCTTGGCCTCCGACCGCAAGGCACTACAGAGGGTAGTGCGTATGGCCCAGTACATCACTGGGGCAAAGCTTCCTGCCATCCAGGACCTCTATACCAGGCGGTGTCAGAGGAAGGCCCTCAAAATTGTCAAAGACTCCAGCCACCCTAGTCATAGACTGTTCTCTCTGCTACCGCACGGCAAGCGGTACCGGAGTGCCAAGTCTAGGTCCAAAAGACTTCTCAACAGCTTCTACCCCCAAGCCATAAGACTCCTGAACAGCTAATCATGGCTACCCGGACTATTTGCACTGCCCCCCCACCCCATCTTTTTACGCTGCTGCTACTCTGTTAATTATTTATGCATAGTCACTTTAACTCTACCCACATGTACATATTACTTCAACTACCTCAACTAGCCGGTGCCCCCGCACATTGACTCTGCACCGGTACCCCCCCTGTATATATAGCCTCCCTACTGTTATTTTATTTTACTTCTGCTCTTTCTTCTCAACACTTTTTTGTTGTTGTTTTATTTTACTTTTTTATTAAAAATAAATGCACTGTTGGTTAAGGGCTGTAAGTAAGCATTTCACTGTAATGTATGCACCTGTTGTATTCGGCACATGTGGCCAATAAAATGTGATTTGATTTGAACCAACGCACCTGGGCCTTGGAGCACCCGCCACCAACCAATGCACCAGGGCCTTGGAGCACCCGCCACCAACCAACGCACCAGGGCCTTGAAGCACCCGTCACCAACCAACACACCAGGGCCTTGAAGCACCCGTCACCAACCAACGCACCAGGGCCTTGAAGCACCAGTCACCAACCAACGTACCTGGGCCTTGAAGCACCAGTCACCAACCAACGTACCAGGGCCTTGAAGCACCAGTCACCAACCAATGCACCAGGGCCTTGAAGCACCCGTCACCAACCAATGCACCAGGGCCTTGGACTACCCATCACCAACCAATGCACCAGGGCATTGAAGCACCCATCACCAACCAATGCACCAGGGCCTTGAAGCACCAGTCACCAACCAATGAACTAGGGCCTTGAAGCACCAGGGTTTGAAGCCCACAAATGTCTTTACGTCAGTCCATGCAATCAGACTGATAATTCTTAAACCACAATCTAAGACTTCACAGTCAAAACTAGGCGAGACACCTAGACAGTACATTATAGTGGCTATTGAACTGAGGGATACCATCAACTGTAACTAGTCTCTCATGTGCTGTAGCACAGGTTAATCTAATGTGTGTGTTCTTCAATTCAGGTATTTCGAGACCAATACATTTTGGTTCCTTTGGCATTTTCCCCTATCACTCTGCTTGTAAAGTCTCAAACCCTGATCTATATTCGCAGTTGAAGAGCATAGTCTGGAGAAGGAAACGAGACTTACTCTGCATTGAAGCCATTCACATGGAGGATCCGCATCTGTTTCACTATGGTGCTCTTCCCTGACTCACCAGCCCCTGTGGGCGGGGGGAGGAGAGAGAGAGAGAGAGAGAGAGAGAGAGAGAGAGAGAGATGGTTAGAAATATTTCAGAGAGTACAGAGAAATGCGCTACCCTGACAGCCAACAGTTATGGCCATTTGGAATGTGATGCTCAGAAGTCATCTACAAAAAAGTAATTGTAAAGAGAGACACGTTCAAAGTGATAGTTCAGCACTTCAAACCTGTGAAATAAACATTAGGAAATATTCTAATTGAAATGAGTTATTATGCCACCTGACCGAGGTCTCATTCAGCACCAATAGAGGCCAGGATTTGGAGGAAGTTGCTGTTAACCTCTGATCTAGGGGGTCAGATCATAGAGAATGATAAGAGGCCTCTAGTGGCCAAAAGGCCGTTTTAGCATGGGCAGCGCCATTGAGGGCTTCCACCATTTTAATATGGTCAGCTGGGTGGGACTTCCAACTTCATTGGCTGATTCCTCCTGGTGTTCCTGTTGGAGTCATGTGCAACCAGGTCATCAAGAGGGATCAGCCAATACTGAAGAAGAAAATTGACTACTTCAAAATGGATATTGCCTCAATGGCCCTGCCCATGCCGTCAACGACGCCATAATGGCACGGATCCAATGGGTCAGATATAGTTTTATTTCCCAGTTGGTTAAGGTCAGGATTTAGGTTTGATAAACTGATGTGGTAAGGGGCATCTTCTACCTTGAGCTTGAGACCACCTGTGTCTGAGGCAAACAACTTACAATAGTGGGAGTTTGGGTGAATCCACACATACAGTAAGATGTAAATAAATGGGTGCAATATTAACCTGTTGAAATCTAATAATGCAATAGTATTACCAGCTTCACTTGACTGTGTTGGCTCTGATATTGTCTTTTCACACCGTTCTTTCCAGCACGGTTCTCGTGGTGGATGCATAACTAGGCTAGCCCAGTACAGCTTGGTTTGAACCTATAGTGTGAATAATGCATAAAGGTGTCAACTATACTCAATCTCATTTGTCAAATCAAATAGAGTCATGACTGTAATGATGAAAGTGAAAATCTTCTTTCCCATAGCAGTGATCTCAAATGTTATGAGCTTTATCATGGTTGGTTCATGGTCTGATGTCTCTCCATAAACACTGTCCAACAAAATTCTTACTCACAAATAGGCCAAAATCTGAAAACTTGCCAATGGCACACACACAAAAAACGTGTCATATCATATAAAAGTGCAAAGAGCATAGTGCTATATCTAAAGCAGCATGTTTTTGTTATGGTTAAATGTGAATTCTGTTCCGCTTTCTTTAGTTACCACAACTTCCTCTTCAACAGAAATACCGGTATGTCATTCAATACAGTAGGCGTCAGGCAAATTCTAATAAAATATTATAATTTAGAGAGGACATTTTGACTGCTTTTACATGATAACCGTACCATGAGAGTACAGAAGTTTCAGTGGTAGAAATGTTCAACATTCATTAACTCACACATAGGCCCACCTTGAAATACACAGGCCTATGAATTTTAAAGTTGTCAAGCAGCTAGTAGTTCTGAAAACAAACCCACAACACAAATGTTGAGCCTCAACACCCATGTTTGATATAGATTAGGCACCGAGCTGTTACAATAACAATGTAGCAATAAGTAGGCTTCAATTATGTTAGAGAATCAAGTCTAACTGATGCCCAACGTAAACATCATACCAGCAACCATGTCACATATGAAAAAGTTAAATGAGACTAGAGTGTAACAGGAAGGCCTACAGAGACAACAATATCCTATATCACAACATCAAATAGCATGCAATGTACAAATAGAAACAATGTTGCCAATGAGGCCTTGTCTACAACACATCAGATTGCCTTCTACAAACTTACCCAAAAGTAGTAGCCTGTGAGTTGCTCTATATATCTGTTTGTCCTTCTGAAGTTGTTTCTCTATCTTTTTGTTTGCTTCTCTTTGTGACTTCTCCTCATTTCGCTGATCTTCAGTCTTGCTGTTGCCCAAACAACCCATCTTCCCGCAAGAAATAGGGTCCAGGGGAGGGGAATGTGAAAAAATAAATAAACAAACTATTCTAAATCCCTCGGTTGACCCACGGAATTGAGAATAATATTAACGACATGTATACGGTCTGTTGTTTAGTGTTACGTCGAACTAATGTGTTTTAAAACGTTGTCCTACTGCGTTTGTAATTATGTGTACATAATGCGTATTTTCAGTAGATCTTGCTGTCAGAGGGTAGGAGACCGTTGATGACGACACCCAGGCCGCCCTCTCACTTGGTCAATTATGTTAGGCTTTTCCTTCTTCACATATAGTTTTTATATACCGATATTGATGACCATCCACAGTTTTAAAGGTTGATTGAGGCTTTTACCTCTTTCACATTCAATTGAGGAGTGGATAAATAGCCTATTTTCATCTCACGAACAGCCCGGATCTCACGTCTCACTGTTGCCTGTGACAGAGACCCAAACTCGGCATGACACAAAAACTCGGCTGTAAAATGACATGGATCTTTTTGACAAAAGTTATAATAAACATCTCTTTGGAAAATAGTGTATTTCCTTAAAACGGCCTTTCTCTACGCGTAGCCTTTTGAGATACTGGAGAAATAAAACAATATTATGGCTACACTTAACGAACTACATGTGTAATATTTTCATTGCTTCCGTATTCATTTAACTCCTTTTATATCCATAAGATGATCCTCGATCTAAACTGTGAGTCCGATTTTCATTTTAGATCCCCGAAATAATTGAATTTTCCTGATTGTCCCCCGTTTCTGTGATGGCTGTTCCTTGCTGTTTTTTCTCAATCCAAAGGGCCTTCTCTGTCTTTTCTTTTGTTGCTGAAATGTGTACCCCTACTCACATCAACAAGGCTCCTAATAGCGCTTTGATAGTCCCCAACACATTCTTAAATGGGTTCTGATTCTTCTAAACATGAAGAAAATACGAAAATCCTTCGAATGTTTCCAGTTTCTTGCAGGTATAGCCCGCTTGTCAGTCTCAGTTTTATATTCCTTTTGAATTCGAATGGTAGGTAGAGCTTACATGTGCATATACATTCATAAATATAACGCGGATTGTAATAACACATTCCACTATGACGGCAGTTCCCTCCTGGGCTGGTCGTGGAAGATTAAACACGGGAATAACCAATTCTTGAAGGTATTATTTTTCCCTTTTTCTCCGGGAATAGTACATTGAGACAGACAGCGCTGAAGAGATGGGGTGGGGCAAACAGCGCTCATTGAACTCTGGGAAGGACCAGAGCTTCATCACATGATTGTACAGAACGTCAGCATGGCGAAATTCTGCGGAGAAAACGGCGCCCTCTTCAATGAAACGACAGATTGGGACCCTCAACACCGGGGCCCTTTCCATTTTCCGATGTTTTGACGCGCAGTGGCACTATATTACCCAATTGATTATAGAATATATGTTCCCAATCGTTATTATTATTATTATTTTATGTTTTCTCATCTCATGGGCAAACAGGTTTGTTTATGCTCCAAAGACATAGGACTAGGTTGGTAGTCATTTTTGGTACTGAGTTGACAGGGGTGTTTTTTCAATTGGGAATTATAATTTATAATTTATTTCTGGACTGGAAATTAAAAGGAATGCTCTGAGCCCTGATAAATCCCTTACAGTCTACATATGTAAATCCAGGGGTTACATAGGCTGAGTTCTGCCACTTCAGAGTGGAACTCTATAATTATAATTCTGAATTATAATCCCAATTTTATTCTAATCCCAACTGTATGCTGTGATGGAATACAGCGTAGTCTACATTTGGGATAGAACATTTGTCCAATTTGGGTGACATTCTTACCCACATGACAAAGCCTTTCACTGACACCCCTCTGCCACAATGTAAATCTTTATCATGTCAGATCTCCAAATCTGAATGTGAATCATGATTTCTATTATGAACAAATTTAATGGGCTGTATTTGGATATCCAAAGGGACTCTTGTGTGTGTCACTGTCATTGTTTGGATTGCTTTATTTAATACCGTATCTTCCTGGAATTCCATTTGGACAGTTCTCTGTATATAGACTGTCATCAAATATTTCCCTGTCCATATTCTCAGTTTTGACTCAAAATCTCAGCATATTTAGTTTAATCATCCCCAGTGGTTTCAAAGGTATTTGAATGTGATGCTCTAGTATGTTTTATGCTCTAGAGATGTATTGGTGTTCACATTCATGAACAGCTCATGACTTCTATGCCATGGTCACCCTGCATTGTGATAATGTGTAGCCTAGAGATCTGTGATGGGTTTAGCCTCTATTGCTGTCACATCTTCTGGGCACTAGATGGCAGTAAACACGTGGTTATAAACTAGGTATACTACCATACACTTTACTAGTTTTCAGGCTTTATTGTACAAATACAGTTTCAGCATATGGTAAAAGTCCATAAACACACCTTATTCTATCCTTACTCCAGTGATTCATGATGTAATGTACAAATTCATTTGTCAGAGAGTTTATGGAAGATTTGACTATTCTATCTTAAATATGGTTGAGAAACACTCAATTTATGTCTGAACATTGTAGACTTGGTTATATTAAATTCACCACATTTAGCTGTATTTTTAAAGGAATTTTATCCCTCAAAAGCGTATGCCTTGTAGGAGAGGTTTTGGCCTACTTATGTGGTTATTGTGTTGTGTTGTCAACAGTTTGTCTGTGTAAAAATACTTTAAAGGACAACTTAAGTAATTTTTTGGGGTACCTGTAATTTACTTTACTATTTATATTTTTGACAACTTTTACTTTTACTTCACTACATTCCTAAAGAAAATATTGTACTTTTTACTCCATACATTTTCCTGGTTTGCTTAATATAAGGAATATGAAATGATTTGTACTTTTAATTTTTGTACTTTTGATACTTCAGTATATTTTAGCAATTACATTTAATTTTGATACTTAAGTATATTTCAAATCAAATAGTTTTAGACTTTTACTCAAGTAGGACTCACTTTTACTTGAGTCATTTGCTATTAAGGTATCTTTACTTTTACTCAAGTATGACAATTGGGTACTTTTTCCACCACTGACTAGAGGTCACACTATGTTGGGTCATTGGTCACTGGTCACTTGTATAGGCACACATGTGATCAGGAAGTAGGGCTACACAGTCTTTACCATACTCACCGGTAACAAGTTTGGAATGATATGCGCCTACGGTAACGACATCTGCCAGTATGGAATTATTGCTGTATTTTGCTGCTAATAAATTGGTAAAAAACCCAACCAAAGATCTATGTTTGGAAAACGGTTTGTTTTGCAAGCATTTATGAACATCTGCAACCCCACCTGTGCCAAAGTGTAGAATTAGTCCTCATGTGATACCTCCATTGGCTCCCCATTGCAAATGGCAAATCTTCCTAACCTTCCCCCATGTAATGGCTAACCTTCCTGATAGCCACTACATGCCTAAGTAACCCTACAAACATGAGCAAGTGTGGATGGACTTCTCTGGTGGTGAGTGCATGATAAGCTCCTGAGTGGACCTACACTTACTGAAAGGCCCTAAAAGCCCAGTAAGATATGATCTGTATCCCCAATCCTCTGGGCATTAAGGTGGGCTCTGGGGCATGCTGGTGCTGCTGATCTTCTCGACTTTAGGACGTTGGGGTCAATTAGAGAAACTCTCCTAGGAACTGTGGTCCATCAGCAGAACAGATGGGAGTCCCTTTCCGTAACACTGTACCGAAAGCATTCATATTGCTGTTTTATGGTCCATATGGATGACATTGGATTTATGAACAGGCATAAGTAGTCTATGTAAGTAGTGGTGTAAGTGAAATTATCCAGTTAATGTCATGTTACATTCAGCTAACGATCCCACTGGGCACAGAAGTCAGTTCAACGTCTAGTTTTGATTGACATTTGGTTGAGTTGTCAACTAACATGAATTCACTTTGTCACCTTGTCATTGGATTTAGGTTAAAACTTGGGTGAAAAAAATAAGAAATTCCCTTACATTGATTACTTTTTGCAAATCCAATCAGTTTTCCACGTTGATTCAACTTCATCACTTTGAATTTGTTGGTTGAAATGGTGTGGAAACAACATTGATTTAACCAGTTTTTGCCCAGTGGGATTAGTGCTAACCTAAATCACACTGTGTCCTGTGAACTAACTTTGAAGTTTTACTTACTACTACTATTTTCCCCTCAGACATACAGTACCAGTCAAAAGTTTGGCCACACCTACTAATTCAATGGTTTTCTTTATTTTTATTATTCATTCAATGGTTTTTCTTTATTTTTTATATTTTTTATATTGTAGAATAATAGTGAAGACATCAAAACTATGAAATAACACATATGGAATCATGTAGTAACCAGAAAAATGTTAAACAAATGAAAATATATGATATATTTGAGATTCTTCAAATAGCCACCCTTTGCCTTGATGACAGCTTTGCACACCCTTGCCATTCTCTCAATCAGCTTCACCTGAATGCCTTTCCAACAGTTCCCACATATGCTGAGCACTTGTTGGCTGCTTTTCCTTCACTCTGCGGTCCGACTCATCCCAAACCATCTCAATTGGGTTGAGGTCGGGGGATTGTGGAGGCCAGGTCATCTGATGCAGCACTCCATTGCTCTCCTTCTTGGTAAACTAGCCCGTACACAGCCTGGAGGTGTGTTGGGTCATTGTCCTGTTGAAAAACTAATGATAGTCCCACTAAGCCCAAACCAGATGGGATGGCTACACATATATAAAATATATTTTCATTTGTTTAACACTTTTTTGGTTACTACATGATTCCATATGTGTTATTTCATAGTTTTGATGTCTTCACTATTATTCTACAATGTAGAAAATAGTACAAAAACAGAAAAACCCTTGAATGAGTAGGTGTGTCCAAACTTTTGACTGGTAGTGTAGATACACCTTCATGTCTTCACCCGAGAACCTTTGCAATGTGTAGCCAATGGAGATATCAAATGGGGACCAAACCATTAACAAAGGTAAAAATGCA